CACTGACAAGTCTTCCAAGATCACACGCTGACATTTGTGTCTAACAAAAACACTTGGGGTGGGGTGTGTGTGTGAACTGTGCAAAGTACAAAGGATCTCCCAGTCGGCTGAGCTTGTTTTGAGGTGCCTGGCCTGGCATCACCCCATGAGAATGCCAGGAGAGCGCCTGCGGCCACCATCCTCTCTGCCTCCCTCTGGGCAGAGGCCCCTGGTGGCCTGCAGTCCTGTCCCCTCGGTGTCCACTGACTTCAGTCATGGCTGTGGACTCTACCAAGCTCCTCAAAGCCAATCTCTGTGGCCACCCAAGGCCACTGCATGGCTAAGATGTGTACATCATGGGACTAGGATGAAACATAAGGGTTAGTTTCATCTTAACCGCCAAAACATGTGTGCCCTTTGAGGCAAGATGGCCTGAAGAAAGGGCTAATTCTGCTCCTGCTCTTGTCTGCAAGCTACATCATCACGAAGGCTGCAGGGGCTGGACGAGTTTAAAATACTCAGAAATGCACATGGGCCATGCATTCCTCTGCCCTCAGGCAGCCTGGCATTGGCTCCAGAGCCCTGGCCAGACCCACGCATCGCTCTCCTTCCTAAGGTGGCACTAATGCCCACCCGACTCTGCCCTGGAAGGGGCCAGCTGACATCTTCCAAAGACATGGGGACACTTGCCCCAGCTCTCTACCGTGCTGCAGGTAGTGGGCTGTGGCCTCGCCCCCCATCAGGAGGGCAAAACACATTTCAACCGGAAGCACCATGTGGGCCATGCCTGGGAGAGGAAGAACGTTCAGGTTACTCTATTCTGTTGCTTGGTAGCTGCATGCCTTAAAAAAAAGACTTAAAAAAATTAACCTGGAGACTTGACTTCATCTGGTTTCCCTGGAGAACATCTGCGTCATCCAGGTTGTTGGATCTGTGCACCTCTTTGGTGACGTGAATTTAAACACGCACAGGATTTTGGTGCTGGATGGGCAACTGATAGTTTGGCAATAATGGTAAATAGACAGCTTTTGGTTGTCATCAAACTGGCACACAGAAGTTCCTATGTTTAAGCCAGACTTTTTCTTCTTTAATTCTGAACAACTTTCCCAAGTCTATTAAATCCATTATCATCTGGAGGGAGGGAAAGGCATGACCCGTCGTGTGGCAGCCACCTGGAAGTAACAAGTAGCCAAGACACGTCCCAAAACAGGAACTCTGAAAATAAGCAGCCCGTGTTTCAAAGGCTTCATGCCAGGCAAGAGAATGTATTTCCGGAATGGGTTACATCCCTGAAAACCAGTGTCACCCTATGTTACCAAAGGCTAGTTTATTCAGCTTAATTTAAGTCTGAATGGTTTTTGTAAAAATATAGGTGGAGAGAGGGGTGATGGATCAAAATTCGGAGGTGATAAAAATGTGTTCCTAAGGTGTGAATCTTGAGAACAAAACTGTCTCCCAAAGGACTCCTCATCAGTCTTCCTAGGAGGTGAGCCGTGGTGCTAATGAATGTACATTCATCAGCCCCACTCAGGGAGTTCCCAGCCTCAAAGCTGCACCTCCTCCTCTCTTGCCCTCCCAGCTCCCCGATCTTGCAAGCACGCAGCGGTGCCGCAACCCCCTGATCTCCTCGTCCCTCTGGTCTCCAGCAGATGAAGGTTTGCACTGCCTGAAACAGGAGCAGTTATTTATTTTTAAAAAAGAAGAAAAATGGTGGTGGTGGTGATCTGAACTGTTGTAGAAACTGCACATTTTGATACCAAGAAATCATCTTCTGAGAACGCTAATGGCAGTTCTCTCTGAGGCAGTAAAGGGAAGATGTTGCCTTCCCGGCTGGGGTTGACCTGCGTGCTCCTTCTACCGCCACACAAAAGGACAATTATAGTGGTCCTTCCTTGAAATGTTTCCAGGTCTTGAATAATAATCATCACCGTCTAGACAGAGCACGGGGTTTTGGTAAGAGTTTAAAGAAACCGGCTGCTTCCAAGCTCCCTCCAACCCCCTCAATGGATCCACCCCGCCAGCCCCCGGAGTACTGGCCGGCACTGAGGTGCGGGATGGGGGGCTTCTCGGCGCTCTCCCAAACCCATATGGGAAATATAAAAATTCTGCCCCTTTGATGTCGCCTCAGACATCCTTTCTTTCAAGCTCAACCAAGTCATTACTAGTTTTACAAAAAGGCAGCACCAGATGTATGAAAAATAGGCAATGTCTGACCTATTAGAAATATATAAAGTCTAACAGCTTTACGTTAAAAATATGCCGTAAGAAAGAAGTAACGCAAGGGACAGTGGTGGTGAACAGAAAGTGTTGCTTATACTACTGGCAGGAGACAAGCCCACAGATTCTGCTCCGGTTCCCACAGGGGCGGTGGGGTGGCCTTTCCGGGGGATCCCCAGGGCCTCACGTGAGGCCCCCCAGGACCACGAACACCCCTGCTGAGCAGCCGGGCGGCAGGTGACTGAGGTATATAGAATGGTGACAGAGCAACCTAAGCCCCGCGGGAAGCCCAGGGCAGCGCAGAAAGATGATCTCCAGCGCTCTTGGCCCCCATGCCACCCACCTCGCCTGCAGACCTCCTGCAACCTCCAACCCTGCTTAGGTGGTAAATATGAACGCTGCCGTGGCTGCAAACCACACCCACAGGCCTGCCTGCGCCGGCACCTGCCTCTCTTCCTCAAAGTGCTTTCTTTGCAGTTTCCACAGAGGGGGTGGACATTTCCTTGAAGAACATCCCAGGTGTGCTCTCCGTTGGGGGTTTTGGGAGAAGGCACGACCTCCACAGTCCCTGGCCCCCACCCTGGGCCAGGGCGGCCCCCGCCAGGTGCCTTGGAGACGACCTGGAACCCTTGGAGCGCCGTGGCTCCCTCTCTGTGTGCCGTGGGACTTCCCAGGCAGCCTCCCGCTCTGTGAGCCGGGTGCAGGGAGCACCAGTCCTCAGAAGCTCTCGACGAAGCTGCCCGGGAAGAGGCCCGTGCGGCCGTTCCGCTGCAGGGTTCCCTTGTACCAGCCGTCCTCACGCTTCTTGTGCACGAAGACGATGTCGCCTTCCTTCAGCTCGATCTCCGCCTCGCTCTGGGGTGGGTACGAGACCACCACGCGGTACCTGGGGAAACAGCACAGAGGGTGAGCCCTGCCCAGAGAGTCTGCGTCTGCCGGGTCGTGCTTTCTCTTTCCCTTTCCTCGGTGTGAATTATTGTCGTTTGCTGCTATTTTCCCACTTTATACAATTTATCTTTATTTTTAATTTTTTCAAAACTCTTTTGAAATTTTTCATTTTTTTTGTAAAAAAAGTTTAAAAGACATTTCCCCCTGCTGTCCTTTTAGACATTGATCTATGCAGAAGCTGGACTGTTCCACCCCCTTGAAGATTCTCCACCCAAGCATAGCCCCCCATCTCACATCTGTGCTCCTGCCCTGGCCCACCCACCCAGACTGCAGCCTGCCAGGGGCAGGGGCCGGGGAGGGTCAGGACAAACTGTGTTCCGATTTGCCCGATCCCAACGTCAAGACTCGGCTCCTGTCCTCATCTCTCCCTCTGTCGGTTCCTCTGAGAAGCGGAGCCCCTCAACTGTAGCACCACCCCACAGGCTGGTGCACCATGTGATGTGTGAAAGGTACTTGGAACATTGTTTTGGTAAGTGGTCCTTATTTTTTCCAGACAGGGTCTTGCTCTTCCACCCAGGCTGGAGTGCCGTGGTATGATCCTAGCTCACTGCAGCCTTGAGCTCCCAGGTTCAAGTGACCCTCCCACCTCAGCCTCCTGAGTAGCTGGGACCAAGGCACACACCACCATGCCCAGCCAATTTTTAAATTTTTTTGTAGAGATGGGGTCTTCCTATGTTGCCCAGGCTGGTCTTGAACTCCTAAGTGCAAGTGATCCGCTGGCCTCAGGCTCTCCAAGGGCTGGGATTACAAGCATGGGCCACCGTGCCCAACCTGTCCTTATTTTTAGATGTGCTCCAAAAATCGTAAGATTTTTTCCCAGTGCCTTAGCATTGGAACTGGCTGAGGCCACATTATCATCAATAAGGCCCAACTTTCCCCACGTCTCATTTCCACAACACTTGGGCCCCCTGCAGCCTCTGAGGCCTCTCTGGAGTCCCTGTTTTCAGACCAATATGCCGTAGTGTAGAAGCAGAGACAGGAGCCTTCCCTGGGGCCTTCCCTGCATGGCCTCCGCCTGCAGGGGCCCAGGGGCATGAGGTGTGCTGCATGGCAGGTGCTGGAGCTCTGAGTGCACTCCAGGGGCTCTCTGGGCTGTGGCAGGTGCTCCTGACAACACTTAGCTGTGACACTGACCAAGAGTTCTCTCCTCGACCACACTCCAGCCTGGCTCCTCTGAACCCTCTTCTTGGCTGGGCCTCACCTCTGCCTATAACAACTTGAACAACCACTAACATAGCTTCCAACAGCTCAAGGTGGCATCCCTAGGCTGACCCCAGCCCCCCTTAAAATGCCTGCCTGAGAAACCTCACGGCAGCCAAAAGAATCGACTGTGAGTTCCAGCCACACCTGAGGACAGGGCCTGTCTCCTGACTTCAGTGAGCACGTCAGCGTGTCCAGATGTATTCGCACAGACCACCCGCTTCCACCATCTGTAACTTTTCACTTCCCTCACTTTCCTGAGCCCCCACTCACTGCCTCCCTGCTCCTCATTCTCTCTTGGAAACCCCCAGTCATTTGTGAGCCAATTGAACCTGAGCTCAGCTCACCCTGGACCCTATTCCCCATTGCAAATGTCCATTATGTTGCTGATTAAAACCTGTCTGACCACTTTCACTAGTGTCCGGCTGTGTTTGTGTTTGACAGGACACACACACACACACACACACACACAGCCCTGCTCTGTCCCACACTCATCCTGCAAGCTGCAGAGGAGGAGGAACAAGGCTGAGAAGCAGCTGTGGTGGCCCCAGGAGAGCCTTCCTCTGAAACACTGCCAAGGACAAACCCGCTGGGCCTTGTGCCCTCGGCCCTCATGCTTGCGGCCCGACAGGCAGGGCCCCGTACTCACTCCCACCAGCTGGGTCTCCCTCTGCCCTGGGGAAACTCCACAGCGGCATGCTTGCCCGATGCCTGGCTGGGCCTCTGCATGCCCCCAGCCCTTGTGTGGGTGAGGAATGTGCAGTAAGGCCTGAGAGGAGAAGCCCCTGGGGCACCAGGGTATTGGGCCTCCGGTCTAAAGCCCAGATCCCACATGTGGTGGATTTTGCGGCAGGCAGGGTGCAGCTGTTCTCTCTGCCTAAAAACCCCCGGCTGACGGTTCCTCCGACACCCACTTTGCTGAGTAGCACTGAGATGGGCCTGGCAGGGCAAAGACACTCAATAACCAGCACTGGACTGCCCGGGTACCCATCTCCACAGACGCTGAGGCTGTCTAGGAGATAGGAGACATGGCCCCTGTGGCTCTGGATGCCTTCCCTGGTGGCCTCTGTGCGGCGCTTCTGTGGGTGGCTCCTGGTCCTGGCAGCTGCCCGCTCTGGGCCTCCTGCTTTCACCCTGCTCGGACTCAGCTGCCTCACAGCTGAGGCTCCTTTTGGGCAGAGGCTCAGAAGGCTCCAGCAGTCCCCATCCCTCTTAGAGGAGGGGCCACAGTCTAAACATCCCAGCATTTCCAGGCCCTCCATGCTGCGCCCCTCCCACTCCTCCAGCTCTGCTCCGCCGTGCCCTGGAGGCCCCAGGTGCACCCACCTCAGGGCTCCTGCGTATGCTGCTCTCTCTGCCCAGAACGCCCTGCCCTGTGTGGCCATGTGGGGCCTGCCCTTTCCCAGCTCTCACCACCTTCTACCGCCCAACCACTAACCTGTTTACCCAACTCATCCTGCCTCCTGCACCAGCCTGCAAGCCCCATCGCCACAGGAATTACTGCACGCGTGCTCCAAGCGTGGCTCACATACTTCAGGACCCCCTACAGTTCCCTGGGCCCATCCTGGACCTACTTGATACGACTTACGGGGAACGGACTAGGGAATGCGGATTTTTAGCAACTCTGGGAGGGAATGCGTGCACACTGGTGTCTGAAAATCGAGCTGAGTGCATGCTCAGGGAGGAAGCCTTTGCCCTCCCCCACCCCACATACTCATAGAGACTGGGGCGCAGAAGCCATGGCTTTGGGGCAGTTTGGCTCGATGCCAGGCTCAGGAAAGATGTGCAGACAGGAGACAAAGGTCCAGCCCTATGGAGCGCACAGCCCATGGGCACATGGGTCCAGCTTGCGTCAGGCTGGTGAGAGGAGGTGACATGGAGGAGGGGTTCCTGAGGCTGACTTAGGGGTGCAGTGTTCCTAATCCTGGGGAAGAAGAACAGGCCAGGTTCTGGGTCCCAGCCCCGAGTACCAGCCAACTCTAAGTGTCTCGGAGTGTCTGCAGGTGCACGAGGCTTGGACTGGTTCCCATGGGCTGTCTGCTGGTGAACCAGACGCTGCTCTCAGGGACGTGCAGGCCCGGAGGAAGGAGGGCGGGCGGAGGCACCTCCTTCCTCCCAGCCCAGCGTCTCTGTGAGGGCTTCCTGCTGGCCCTCCTTGAAGGAGGACAGATGGCTGCCGAGATGCAGCCAGCAGTCTGTGAGATCAGACCGCATGCACACAAACCGAGGCTGCGAGGGCCCACAGGACCAGCGCCATCCTACCTGTGGCCTTCTGCTATCCTCTACCTCTTCCGAACACCTGCTCCTCCTCTCTCTTCCCCAAGGAAAGAAAGGAAGGCAAAGGGCGAGATGATTTCTCAGACTCTGAATGCAAGTTTTGGCTTTTGCCTCAACTTCCAGATGTGAAATAAACAAGCAGCTTTAAAAATATAATTTGTTAGAAAGATGTAATTTGGTGCTTCTGAGCAATTCAATGATTTAATGAGCCCAGATGGATGTGGGCTGAATTTATACGAGACGAGCGTTTAACGTTTCTGTCCAGATCATTCCAAGACTCTGAGCTGTTCTTCCTGCTGCAGGAAAGTAATTGATACTCCCCGTTATAGACACAGAGGGCCGTTGTCGCGTCCGTGTGAGCAGCTGAGGATGACAGCTACTCCCAGGTCACAACTGTGCGTCATAAATCAGCAAGCAACTCTGCCCTGCTGAGTATAATTACGGTTATGGCAACCACAGCTAATTTTCAGACACGGGGCTCATGGAATCCAAATGGGCAAAATCAGAACGAATTCTCATTCCATTATTATTACCATTAGCTCTGTGTGCGAGGTTTGGATGCTCTACTTTCCTTGGGGGTCGTCTGTTTCCCTCCCTGACAAGGGGGACTGCAAAGCAGCCCTCCACGTGGTAGCCTTTTCAGAGCACCTGCTTCAACACACAAAGACGAATGAGCCCCTGAGTCCATGGAATGTGCTGGTAACAGAGTGGTGTCTGCTAGGAACTTGGGGATAAGAATACTTCTATACCCTGGACACTAAACTGTAATATCAACACACATATTAGTTGTTTATGGCTGTAACGAATGACCATAAATGTAGTGGCATCACACTGTACAAATTTATTATAGTTCTGTCCGTCAGAACTCCAACACGGTCTACTGGGCCAAAATCAAGGTGTCTGCAAGGCTGGTTCCTCCTGCAGGCTCTAGGGTAGAAGCTGTTTCCTTGCTTTTTCCAGTGGCTAGAAGCTGCCTTCATCCCTTCTCTGGAGGCTTCTTCCTGCATCTTCAAAGGGGAGTGCTCACATTATGCCACTCCGACCTTCTCCTCTGCCTCTCTCTTCTACTCATAAGGACCCTTTGTGATTACACAGGGCCCACCTGGATAATCCCAGGTAAGTTCTTTATTTTAAAGTTAGCTGGTTACCAACGTTATTTCCATCTGCAACCTGACTTCCTCTTTCCCATGTATGGTAACATAGTCATGAGTTTTTAGGGTTCAGGGCACAGACGTCTTTGGGGGTCATTATTCCGCTCACCACACACATAATGGATCAGAGCAAGGAACGTTGAAATCCTAACAAATCCTAACAGGCCATCAAGAGCTGAGGATGAGCTGATCCGACGTGAACATCTGGGGAGAAGCCTGTGCAGGTCAAAGTGGTGGCAGTGGGCCAGGCAGTGCTGCAGGTGCCCTCACCATCACCATCTTACTATTATCATAGATGTCACAGCATATA